CCAAGGGCAGAGCACAGGGGTCCCTAGCTGACGTGACCCGGGAAGGCTCTGTGGTCCACCGGGTGACACCGGGCGCCCTGGAACTGAGCAGCTTGCTTTTTTTTTTTTTTAAGATTTATTTTTATTTGAAAGTCAGATATACAGAGAGGTGGAAAAACAAAGAAGCTCTTTTGTTCTCTAATTCACTCCCCAAGTGGCCACAATGTCCCAGTTGGAGCTGAGCTGATTGGAAGCCAGGAGCCAAGAGCTTCTTCCTGATCTCCCACGCAGGTGCAGGGCCCCAAGGCTTTGGGCCGTCCTCGACTGCTTTCCCAGGCCACAAGCGGGGAGATGGATGGGAAGCAGGGCCACCGGGATTAGAACTGGTGCTCATATGGGATCCTGGTGCATTCAAGGTGAGGACTTTAACCACTAAGCTATCGCGCTGAGCCCATTGACAGAGAATTCTGCCAGCTGTGGGACACGTGTCCTGAGTTCCACCTCTCCAGGCTGCAACGGAATTCTCTGGAAACCTAGCCGGCTCTGGGAACACCTACACGGCTGGCTCCTTGGCCTGAAGTTTCCCTGGGTTGCAGATGATGCAACACACACTAGCTCAGGGCCACTGGGTGCCCGCCAGCGCTCACTTAGGAAATCGTGCCTGTAGGGTAACCTACGTCTTCCGTACTTTTCCAGGCTGGAGACTTTGCCAGACGGTTCATGTCAGGAGCCTCTACCCTTAACTCCTTCACTTCCCAATGTGAACGTGGTTTGCCCCAGAAGCGGACTCTGACCCGGAAGCAGAAACGCCAGACCGTGTGCAAGGCCACCGGGCCCCCGCACACCCAGCATTGCCAGCGGCCCCTGACTCTCCTGCATGCCGTGGTTTCTCTTGCCCCCACTCCCTGCCCTGCTCCCACTCCTGTGATGTCGCCAACGTTTCAGCTTCTGTCTCCCCTATGCCCCCCAGTGACTCCCAAGGCCGTGCAAAGTTCAGTGGTGACGCCAGGGCTCAGAAGCCATGGCCACGTCCCCCCATCAGGTGAATCCTGGGTGGGGTTGATTGTGGAGGGAAGCTGCTGGAGCTAAGGCAGGTGCCAGCAGGCTGTTGGCACTCCTCGGAGATGATGCCAGAGGCTGCTGGAGGGAGAGCAATTGCAGCCTCAGGCTTCTGATGTGAACTTGGCTGAGCGGTGCCAAGGAACTGGATGGCTTCGGTAGATGCCAGGACTCCACAGCCTCTGCCCACAAGGCTCCTGACAGATGGGGCCTTGACCAGCACCTCCACTGCACAGACACCGCAGGCCCGTGTCATGGCCCAGGCTGGGCCGCCACTTGCCATGCTGGCAGCCCACACTGGCATGCCGGCTGCTCTGCTTCTGATCCAACTCCCGGCTGGTGCACCTGGGAAGGCAGCAGCTGGCGGCCCAAGTCCGTGGGCCCCTGTGAGACCTGGAAGCTGCAGTTCTGGCCTCCTGGCTCTGGCCTGGTCCAGCCCTGGCTGGTGCAGGCATTTCTGGAATGAACTAGAAAATGGAAGATCTCTCTCTTCCTCACTCATTTTCTATTCTGCCTTTTGAACAATAAAACAAAAAGAAAATGTTCACTCTGCAAGGGGCACACTCAGGTGCCAGGGATGCTGCACAGAAGGCTAAGCCTCTGCCTACAGTGCCGGTACCCCCATGGGCACCTGCACAATGAATGCTAATGTACCTGGAAAATCAGCAGAGGTTGGCTCAAGTCCCTGGGCCCTATGTTAGGAACCCGGAAACTCCGAGCTCCTGCGTTGGACCTGTCCTGGGCCTGGTTGTGGGCAACCATTTGGGGAGTGAACCAGCAGATGGAAGATCTCTGTTTCTCTATAACGCTGTTTCCAAATACGTTAAAACAAAACCACAAACCAACTCTGGTGAGAGGACTGACTGTACAGAGGGGAGGTGGGAGGGCTGCAGTCCCACTGTGTGCCCGTGCATACAGGCCGTGTCCCAGCCCGGACCCGCGTGCAGACACGCTCCTTCCTGTTGTCCATCTTGTCCCCCACCAGCACAGCCTGTGGTCGGCGTGAATGCTGGTGCTGCCGCACCCTCGTTGGGACACCAGCGACCCTCACCTTGTGGGAGCCTGGGAGTCCCGCTCCCCAGCCTGGGTCCTTGAGCCCTTTTCTTGGGGACCCTCTCTTGGCTCTCCTCCCACCTCCTCCACACTTCCCCAGCACCCTCCCTCTCACTAGCCCATGGTGAACTCTGCAGTTCTGAATTCTGCCCTGGGTGCGTGTCCATGTTCCCATGCCAGCACACGTCCTGGAGGGCCGGGATGACTCCACCGGGGCCTGGATTTCATCTTTGGCTACGTTCCCCCGTCCCCATCACAGGCTCCCCTGCCAGCTCTCTCTCCTAGTCTGACTTCTGCCTTGGCATGTTCCCTTGGCTTTCCTGCCAGCAACTCAAGATACAGCCAGCCTGTGTGGAGACATCGTTATAGCTGTTACTGGTACGAGTCCCCTGCTGCTGGCTTAGTGAGAGAACTCATCCTTCCGTACTGGGTACTGGGCACTGGAACTTAGGCTGTGTGTCGCTGCCCCCGCCCCTTTTGATTAGGTGTGAACATGTGACCGAGTTCAGCCAACACAGGGTCAGGGGACCCACGCGCCTGCATGTGACTTCCAAGGACAGGAGAACTCCTGGTACCCCTTCCTGGCTGCCAGCCGTCTGTGAGCAGAACGTACACAGTGACACTGGGCAAAGCAGGAACTGCCAGCACCCCGTGCTGTGCAACCCAGGAAGTCCTAGTGCAGCGAAAGTACACTGCGAGCCAGGAGCCAGGCTCGCCGTTTGCCTCGGGAATCTGTTCTCACAAAAGATCTCTGCTCTTGGCAAAGGAGCCCCTGCTGGGCTGACAGATCGCTCAATGCAGCCAGCGGCGGTCAGGCCCGAGCCAGGGCGTCAGGGCCTTGGTCCGGCCTTGGGAGTGTAGCACTCAGATGCCTTTTGAAAACTACCTATTGATCCAAAAGGCAGAAGGATAGAAGAGAAAGAGAAATAGCTTTCATTTCCTGGGCCCCTGCGCAAACGGCCTCAACAGCCAGGGACTCCATTGGGGTCTGCCCTGTGCATGCCGAGGCTTCAAGTACCTAGGCCACTTGCCACTGCTTTCCCAGCGCCTCAGTGGGAAGCTGAAATGGACGTGAGCCAGCTGGTGCTTCGATATGGGATGCCACTATATTTGAACAAATGCAACTGCAGCCATTTGGGGAGTGAACCAGCAGATAGAAGATTTCTTCTCTCTCTGTGAAATCTACTTTCCAAATAAATCGCTAAAACTTTAGTATGGATAGCTGGAAGCAGATACACCAGAGGGCAGAATAGTCCAGCAACTATTAACTTAGGCCCAAGCTGCCACCCCTCCTCCCTTTTTCCATCTGGGTTATGACTTCTTAAATATCTATTTACTTACTGAAAGCCAGTCACTGAGAGAGACGCATCGGTTCATTCCCTCATGGCTGCCATGGCTGGGGCTGGGCCAGCTCGGAGCACCAGTGGGTCTCCCACACACATGGCAGGGTCCCGAGCCTTCCCACCGTCCCCTGCTGCTTCCTCAGCTGCGTGAGCAGGGAGCTGGATCGGAACCGGAACTCCAGGCAGGCTCACAGGAGCTACTGGGTCACAGGCAGTGGCCCGGCCCCCAGAACACACACACCTCCAGCCTCAGCCAATCTGGATTGTTTTGGGCCAATCCTAGACAGCCTATTAATTCACCCAAAAACATTTCATTCAGCCTGTGTCCCTAAAGATAATGCTTCTTTTAAAAAGTGGGCCTGGCAGACGGCTCAGTGACAATCCTCACTTTGTACATGCTGTGACTGTGGCCCCGGCTGCTCCACTTCCCACCCAGCTCCCTGCCTGTGGCCTGGGAAGGCAGTGCAGGACGGCCCAAAGCCTTGGGACCCCGTACCTGGTGAGAGGTCTAGAAGAGGCTCCTGGCTCCTGGCTTCGGATCAGCTCAGCTCTGGCAGTTGTGGCTGCTTGCGGAGTGAATCAGTGGACGAAGATCTTCCTCTCTGTCTCTCCTCCTCTCTGTTTGCATACCTTTCTAACAAAAAGAAAATAAACCTTTAAAAACATTAATCATTGTTAGAGGTCACTGAATATTTACATTATGGTTTTATTATTTTATTTGTTCAAAGCAATGCCATTCAAGTTCCTTTTTCACCATTTTTAATGGAAGGATAATGTACATGGGAGAAAAAACCCGCTGCAGACCATTGTTAAACGCAAGACTCACGAATTTCCTCCCCTCCTTAAACTACAGACCATCCCTTCTCAGGTTCCCTTGGAATTCCCTGCAAGGAATGTGGATCTGCCAGTGGTGTCTGGTGCGTGCACGTGCGGCCACCCAGGGCGACTCAGGCCCGTGCAAGCAGCGAGCTGACCGCGAGGGTGACCAGATCGTGCCCCGTGCCCCGGCCTGGGCTCCCCACGCAGCTTTGAGGTGCCCGCGAGCCCACGGGCCAGCGCCACGAGCGCCCCTCCGGCGACGCATGGGCCGGGGAGGAGGAGGTGGCCGCCGGGCTGTGTCCAGGACAGCGCAGGGACGGAGCCGGCTGCTCCGAGGCGCCCACGACCCCCGAGGAGGTGCGGGGTCGTCGCCCAGGCCCGGCCTCCGCAGGCGGCCACGCGCGCAGCCCTCCGCCTCCACCTCAGCGCGCCTCTGCAGGAGCCACGCCCCCGCTCGCCCCGCCCCGTGACGCACGGCGTGGGCGGAGCCGTCGCGCCCCGCCGCTCCAGCGGCCTCCAGCCACGGCCGCCGTCGACCCGGAGCTCCTCCCACGCGCTGTCGCTCAGGGGCCCGCGCACGCGCGACGCGGCCGTAGCGCTGCGGCCCTCCCCTCCCCCCGCCCGCTGGGCCGCGCCCGCGCATGCGCGCCGCCCCGCCCTCGCCGTCACCCGTAACAACCACGGGTGCCCCGGCCTCGCCCCTCCGCGCTCCCGCCCTCAGCCCGGAACCCGCGGGCGAGCGGCGGCGGCGGCAGGCCGGCGAGGGAACGGCGACGGCCGCGCGGAGCCGCCGGCATGAGCGAGCCCAGCCGCCCCGCGCGCCAGGCCGGGCCTTTCTGACCGGAGGTAGGTACGCGGGTCGCCCCGGGCCGCTCGGCCGGCCGTCGGCCGCCTCCCCTCCGCGGGCCGCCTCCCCTCCGCGGGCCGCTCTCCCCGGGCCGGCTGGCGGCTCCGAGCCTGCGGTGGGGCGCCCCTGCGGCCGGCGGATGGCTGGAGCCCGATTGTCCGGCAATAGAGGATGCCGCCCGTCCCTGCGGGTGCCTCTCTGGACCGGAGCATCCCCGAGCCGGGAGCTGGTTGGGAGCCGGAAGCCTTGGGATGCCGACGGCTTGCCGGGACCGGACCCCCTCCTCAGAGTTGATTGTCCCCGGTTAGATGTTTGCAGAGATGTTGGACTCCCCTGTTGGAACGGGTGGAATGTGGCCGCCGGGGCGTGTCGGTCCCGGAATCCCGAGCTGGAAGGCTCCCGGCTGGCCGAGTTGGGAGCTGCTCCCGATTTCACAGCTGCAGTCTTGGAGGATCGTCTGGCCCTGAGACGGGGCGGCGAGTTCACGGCCTGTCTGAGGCCCCCGGGCTTGTCTCCCCAAGCTGTCGGAGGAAGGGGTTGCCAGCACAGCCTCCTCCGAGAGCCGTGCCAGGGAGAGCTCCAGATCGGCCTCAAGGACCCTACACTCTGGAGAGGAATTCTGAGCCCGAAACGTGGGGATGTTTGTTCTGGCGTGGCAGCCGTGGGCTCCTCCTCTGGTCGATGGCTCCCCGGTTGCCCGGCCCGGGACAGGCTCCCTGCATTTCTTTCTTCTCCCGACTTTGAAGTGGGGGAGTGAACATGTTTGCTGGAGCGTGGTTGGGAGCCTGCAGGAGTGCGGGGCTGGTGCAGTGTAGACTGTTGTGCTGCGCAGCCAGTGGGGGCTGGAAGTTTCAGAGGAGCCAAAGAACTTGGGCTTCCTGCCCCGCTGAAGGAGAGTTCCCCGAAGCTGAGCTGTGCGCAGCTAGAAAACAGGAAGCGGCTCAAGGTTCCTCCGAAGGCAGCCGTGGAAAAGTACTCTGTGCTGTGGCATGCCCCGGGGTTTCGCTTTTTTCCCCCCATTTTCATTTTTGTATTCCGCTGAACTAACCTCTCCACATCTTAGGAGTTCCTGTTTGGCTCCTGGTGGAGATGGTTGGCCAGAACATGATGGAAGCCCTGGTCCTGGGATGGGATGGTTGGTTGGAAAGGCCACCAGTCATCTGGCTCTTGGGCCCGTCCCTGTGGCCCTCTGCCTTTGGTTCTGGCTGCACCCTGTGGCCCTCCGCCCTCAGACTCTGGGCCTGGCTGCACCCTGTGGCCCTCTGCCGTCGGGCCCGTGCACCCCTGTGGTGCTCCAGCTCTAGGCCTGCCTGTGCCCCTGTTCCCCGTTCCCTGCCTTTCTTCCTCGTGTCCCTGTGGATGCGCGTGTCAGCCTTTCAGCCTGTGTGCGACCTGGCGTGCCTTTGTGCCATGGTAGGACGTGTTCACGCCTGCTCAGTCCTTCTGTAGCTAACTGCTCATGTGTGCTTGTGTTTCACAGGTGTGAAGGCACTGCTTGGAGTTACAATCATGGTGCAAAAATACCAGTCCCCGGTGAGGGTGTATAAACACCCCTTTGAGTTAATTATGGCTGTAAGTACCCCACCTTTCCGGTTCCTCTTGGCTTCTTTTCTGAGCTTTGGAGTTGGATCTGTGAGCCCAGCCTTGCTGTTATTCTGTTTCCATGCTTCGAAGCATTACTTAGAATGTATCAGACATTTTAAACATGGAAGCCTCTGGAAGCTGAAATCTGCTTGCTTGTTTTTGAAAACTGCCCCCTGTTTGTGTTGCTTGTCTCTTTAAGATGCAGAAGTAGCATTGAGCCACACTTCCTGTTGGTTTTGCTGTCTCCTTTTTCTGCTTGTTACTTTAGAAAAGGGGTGTGGAGGTGGGTTTCTTGGGGAGCTGTGTTTCCATGAGCACCCTGCTGATGGGTGTCCTGGGGTAGACGCCTCACTTTAGTCAGGGCTCTGTTGAGTAAGTTTTTCCTCCAGAGTAGAATCCGCGAGTCACATGGGAAGTCCACCAGTGGGGTGGCTGACTGTCCTTGTGCACGTCGCTTGGCTCAGTGTGGCCAGAAATAGGTCTTTTACTAGCTGCAAACTGCAGGCCATTGCTAGGTTCCTGTGGGGAATTCGTACCTGCTCAGTGTGGCTGTGGAGGGACAGGCTCCACCAGGCAGCCTGCGGAAGTGTCACACACAAGAGGCACAGGCTGGTGGCGGCTGCCATGGCCCTGGGGAGGCCCCCGGCCCTGCCCTCAGGCCCTTCACTCGCCCTGTCTGAACTGTTAGCCTGAGTCTCTTCCTGGTGTAGACAAGAGCTCAGGGCCTATGGCGCCTGTCTGCCCTGCTGGGGGTGGGAAGGGTCTCCATCAAAGGTGATAAAAAAAAAAAGCCCAGATAGGTGATAGTGCCTTGTAAATCAGAGGGTTTTTTGTTTTATTTTGTTTGTTTTTAAGTCTGATTTGTATACAGCCAGTGGTGTGCAGTGTGGTCTGACGGAGCAGCCGGCTCTGTCAAGGGGTACAGGGTACAGAGGTTACAGGTTCCCTGCAGCAGGTGGGAGGTTGTGTGCTTATGCATGTGTGTGTGTGCGCATGCATGTGCATGTATGTTCCTTTAAGGTGTCCTGGGGCCCCCCAGCATGTTTGGCCAGCGCTGCTGTGCTTCCTACTCCTGACTGGAGAGGCTGTTTCCGGTTGGCACGCTGTCTCTACTGCTTTTGGCTCTTGCTCCTCGTGTGGAACAAAGAGCACTCCAGCAGGCTTGAAAAGGAGTTTTGTATGCGGGACGCATGTGGCGTGATAGGAATCGCACACAGGAGAAATTCTGGCCAGGCCGGGCTGGGTTCCAGGAGCCCGGCGAGGAGGCCGGTTCCTGGCACGCGGGGCGCAGCGCAGCTGTCCTTGGGGCCTGGCTCAGCAGTGAGGCTCTGCCTGGCTCCTGTCACCCCTCCCCCTTGGGGCGTTTGCTTGTTGCATTCTTTCAGTTTCTAAGGGAGCAGTTCACAGTCTTGAGAGGGACACTGATTCCTTGTGTCCCGGGCTGGGCGGGTGCGCAGCCGTGCTGCCTGACCCTGCCAACCGGGAAGGCCTGCCGAGTTGGGTGCCCGAGTTGAGTGTCGAGGGGAAGGCAGTGCCCTGGAAGTGGAGGGAACTGCCCTGCTGCCCGCCTCGCTGATAGCCTTGATTGTGTGAAGACATGGCAGTGACATGCAAGGAGAGCAAGGGCTGTTTTGGTGTGAAAGTTGAAATAGTGAAAATGTCGCGAAAAGCGCTGCCTGGGTCTCAGAATTTTTGGTACCAAATTAAACTTATTTGTGATTTTCTTTCCCATGAACCTGTGCGGTGCTCACGTATTCCAGACCCGTGAGTCCTGCCTTGTCTGCCTCGCTCGTGAACTGACAGAGAACTTGGAGTCAGCCACCGGGGCCGCCCACTGCCCTGCATGGCCTTCAGACGGCCCTCTGAGGCAGTGTGGTGTTTTCTTTCCGCAGCTTCAGTTTCGAAAATGGTCTTTACTTGGAAGGTGGGGCTATGTTTTATGTTTTCCCCAAACGTCGCCTTTGCAGAGCTGGAATGTGGCTGCTGACTTCTGCGGCGGCGTTGCCTGCACTGTCATTGTGTTGTGTGCCAACCTCAGAGTGGACTGCACCTTTTTCTGCTTGAGGGGGAGCACAGGGCCCTGGCATCAGGCTGGAAGTGAGCCCTCGAGCTCATCCTCTGTCAGTTCAAGCAGGAACCCTGACTCCAGGGAGACATCTGTGCCACCCTGGGCAGGAACATGTGTCTGTGGAAGGCGGAGCAGGCGACAGGAGGCAGCCCTGGCGGGTGTGGGTGGTGCTCATGCCTGGAGCGGCTGTGTGGGTCCTGTGACTGAGAGAAAAACTGCTCACTCCCTCTAGTGCTCCTGCCTCTGTGTGTGTGTGTGTGTGTGTGTTCTCAAGAGATTTGTTTGTTTGAAAGAGTTAACAGAGAGGGGGGAGACGGAGAACTGTCATCTCCTTACTCCCCGGATGTGGCCGCACAGCAAGGACTGGGCCAGGCTGTTGCCAGGAGCCTCCTCTGAGTCTCCCTCTTTGGTACAGGGGCCCAAGTGCTTGGAGCATCTTCTGTTGCTTTTCTCATGCCATTAGCAGGGCACCGGATAAAATTGGAGCAGCCAGGACCTGAGCTGGTGCCCATCTGGGTGGCAGGTAGCAACTCTGCCTGCACCCAGCACTGTATGCTCCTGACCCCCCTTTTTTAACTTACAAAAATTTTTTTTTGAATTTTTATTTATTTATTTATTTATTTATTTTTTAAGATTTATTTTATTTTTATTGGAAAGGCGGATATACAGAGAGGAGAGACAGAGAGGAAGATCTTCCATTCGATGATTCACTCCCCAAGTGAGCGCAACGGCCGATACTATGCTGATCCGAAGCCAGGAGCCTCTTCTGGGTCTCCCATGCGGGTGCAGGGTCCCAAGGCTTTGGGCCGTCCTCGACTGCTCTCCCGGGCTACAGGCAGGGAGCTGGATGGGAAGTGGGGCCTCCAGGATAAGAACCGGCGCCCATATGGGATCCCGGGCGTTTAAGGTGAGGACCTTAACCACTGCGCCATTGTGCCGCCCTCCCCCCCCCCCTTTTTTAAAGGCCCATGTATTTTAACCAAGAGTTTCATTGTCGGGGCAGGCATGGTGGCACAGAGGGTTAAGCTGCCACTTGGGATGCCTGCGTCTTACACTGGAGGGCCTGGGTTAACACCCCGTCACTGCTTGAGTGTCCTGCTGTGGTTCTGGGAGGTGCAGGTGACCATGGGAGACCCAGATGGAGCGGTTGGCTCCTGGCTTCAGCCTGGTCCAGATTGCACTGCCTGTTGGGGGCGTTTGGAGTGTGAACGGGGTGTGAACGGGGTGTGAACGGGAGAGTGGAGCAGGTTTCTCTTTCCCACTTAATCTCTGCTTGTTCAGACAAATAGATCTTTTTAAAAAGAAAGTTTCACTGTAGTTTAATTTTTTAAAAAAGATTATTTTTGTCGGAAAGTGAGATTAACAGAGAGAAGGAGTGACAGAAAGATCTTCCATCTGTCAGTTGACTCCCTAAGTGGCCACAACAATGGGAGCTGAGCTGATCCAAAGCCAGGAGCCAGGAACTTCTGGATCTCCCACAGAGATGCAGGGTGCCAAGGCTTTGGGACTTCTACTGCTTCCCCAGGCCACAAGCAGGAAGCTGGATGGGAAGCTGGGCCACCGGGATTAGAACTGGCGCCAGTATGGGATCCCGGGCGTGCAAGGCGAGGACTTTAGCCAGTAGGCTACTGCGCCAGGCCCAGTTTCACTGTAGTTTAGTATTGCCAGGAAATTGTAGGTAAAACTGTTGGTGTGTACATGGTTTCCCAGGACATACGTGACAGGAATTCATTGTATCGGTGCATTTTACATTAAGTATGTTCACTGCATTTCTCCTAATTTAGTGAAAATTGTGATTTGTCTTGGGACAATAGCATTAAAAAGTCACCCTAAAAGTTTGATTTAGACCTTTGGACTAAAGAAGGGTGTTTCAGTACTCCTGATGGGAGGAGAGCCCTGCCGGCGGGCACTGTGGACTTGAGCAGGACTCAGACACGCACGGAAGAGGGGAACAGGGGCCAGAAATGAACATGAGTGCTGTGGAGCGCGAGACAGGAGAGCCGAGAACTCCTGGGCCTTGAGTGGTGCAGCCTGCTGTGCTCTGTGTGTCCTAACATGCCTGGAGTTCTGGGCCCTGGAGAGACCTTGACCACACCTGGTCTCAGCCCACGGCCTCTCCTAGGCTGACTGCTGTGGCTTGCGGGCAGAGGGATTTAGGGGAGAGCCTGCTGCCGGAGTGTCTTTCATGAGGCCAGAGGGGTTCTGGGCGGGAGGCAGAGCTCTGGGTGCTGTGGGCTTTCAGACATGTTGTGGGGCAGCCCTGCCCCCGCGCCATCGGCCCCTTCATAAAGGACAGAAGTGAGAGAACCCAAAGGAGACACAGCGGGCATGGGCAGGGAGGGGGTGCCTGGCTGGGACCCGTCAGGGCGGCACCCGAGGTCCTAGCTGTCACTGCTCCGACTCCCCTTCTGTACACCCCAGAACTCACCCCGGAGCAGTGTCCCCCTGCCTGCTGTCACAGGGCAGCGCTGCTCCGTCCTCCTTCCCTGTTCTCCCCTGCAGTCTGCCTGTGCACTGTGCAGTCACACACCCCTGACCTCTCTGCTCTCGGCCACCATCACCCGAACAGCCCAGGTCCTGTGTCCTGTCGCCTGGGCCTTTGCTTGGCTCTTGCACTCCATCTCTGCGCTCCCTTGGGCTGCCCGTGACTGATGCCCTGGAGGTGCCCTGAGTGTCCCGCTGCTTCTCTGGGGCTTGTCTTCGGTAGGTGCCACTCCTGGGCACCTGGGCTTCTGCTTGGAGTTCTGAGTGGCTGTCCGAGCCCTGGCCCTCGTCCCCCCTCCCCCCCCGAGAGCCAGGGTCAGCACACAGGAGGGGTGTGCATGTGTGTGTGGTGCGCGAGCTGCACATATGAGGACAGCCGCTGGGGCTGCTGGAAGCGGAGGTTTCTGTCCGGGTTGCTGACAGAGCTTTCTGTTTC